TTTTTTTATGTATTTTATTGTACTTCAGATGAAGGCTTACAGAACAAATAGTTTCTCATGAAACAGTAGTACACATGTTGTTTTATGACATTGGTTAACAACCCCACAACATATTAACCCTCTATAACTTCTCAACCTTTTTTTTTTGGTGAAAATACACATAGCCAAAGATACACCATTTCAAAAATTTCTACATCGCATTTTATATTTTGAATTCTTCTTACTTGTGTTCCTTTTTACATGTGTGGATTTTTCTATTGAAAATTATGTTAAACTGTCAGTACAGTCTGGTTTTTAAGGGTCTTTATTGATAGTGATTGTACATCAGTTTGTATTCAGCATATCTGTGTGTTGAGAAGTGGTTTTTGGTGCTTAAAGAGCATCTAACTTGGATCCTTGAAAAACTCTGACATAAGGCAGTCTTTAAGAAAACTTGTTTTCCTATATGAGGGAATCCACATGAAGTTAAGGTCCCCGAGGTATTATTATAAGCTCACATTACATTAATTACTTTTGGCTCTGTCTTTTTAAAGCCAAATTAGCCTTTGGTTATTTTTCTGTTGGCATTGAGTATGAATTTTGTAGTCTGCTAATGGACGTTTACAATTTTCAGTTTTGTTTTTACAGCAAAAAAGATTACTCATAAAGGTATAAAGTTTTAGAGTACATGTCCACAGATTTCTCTGTGTAAGACCATTTCTGTCCCCAAGATGTTGTCTATTTTGCTCTCTGCTTATATGGTACGTTTCACCATCTTGAAAAGAAAGTGATTCAGTAAAGGTAAATAGGATGCTTGTAGTGAATCAGAATCCTTTTTAATTCATTTCATAATGATAAATATGTCATAAAATAACCAAAGGTAGGTAATAAAGTTAATGTGAAAGATGGACAACATAAAACGCAACTACTCTGTGTAGTCTTTCTACCTCTGGGTTGAGTTTATTTCTGTTCACTTTTGTGGTGCTAGACATCGATGGCTATTTTAGCCTGATACCTAACTTCTGAAATGGTCACAGTATAAATTGCTTGTTCTTCCCTATGCTTTTAGGCTAGGCCTTCATGATACTAATAGTATGTTTTTAACCTTATTAGTAGACCAACAAAAAGTCAGAGACAGGCTAGACTGCTGGTGTTGTTATGACTGAAGTCTCTTAGGACTATCAGAGAACATGAGAATCGGAATGTTAGGGCTGGAGGCAAGTCTGTCCCTCAGCTGGGCCAGCCCCAGAGTGTGCAGTGTGGCGGCGTAGTCTTGCCTGTTAATTGCTCGGCATCAAGACCTCTTGACTCCCATTCCTCACGCTACTTCCAACAAATTGTCTTAAGATAAAGGAATGGGGTGGGGGAGGGGACATAGCACCAAAATTGTGAGCATTTTAGTCTGATCGTTAAAGACAACTTTTACTTAGAAGGTTACCAAATATGGAAGGAAGAAGTTATTGAACTAGTAAGTATATATTTGAGAATTTGACATTTAAGTGAACTATTTTGATATGGAAAAGTTTAATAGATAATAAAGGGCAATCTTCATGATTTTTGGAATAAATCCTTTACCTCCTAAAGTGATTAACTCAAATGAAAGATCAGAGTTTGAATTTGAGAACTAAAATGTTTATATAACAAGATACTAGGGTCCTATTTAGCAACAGAAGTTTTGCATGATTACATACATAGACATATTCTTTTTCAACATACATGTTCTATTTTCTTAGTCTTTTAAGGTATAATCACTTGTACTGCCCTGTTTCTTTTACTGAAAGGAGGAAAGGATATCATTCAGGTTTTCCTTTTCCTTCCATCCTACTGAGAAACTTGGGGGTCAGAGTACAGAGGGCCCACTCAGCCTTTTATCCATCAGAGGGAACCCCAGAACTGGATGTTAGTTTCTATAAGAGCATAAACCCCAGGCTTTCTTGTTTAAGGAGATATGCTTTAATTTTCTGGGTGTAAATAATGACCCGCTTATATTTTTATACTGAAATGCCATTGGGATAAAAGAAATCACCATTGTGAATAGGATAAAGTTGATAGGGTGTATTTCTTTAGAAATTGCCTCTTTTCCTTGACCAGGGCGATGAAGATTTGTTGCTTGACAATGCAAGTCAGACATCTTTTGAAACTGCAAACAGAGAAGCAGCAAAGAGACGGAACTTGCCTAAGCCTGTCACCAAAGTTTCACCCCCTGCTGAACAGCCCCCACAGAAGAAGGTTCGTTACGGCATGCCTCCTCACGGAATTGTATCAGTGTGCTGTGGGGGTATCGTTCTCTGAGCCAAGTGGTATATTGGTGAAGATTAGAACTGGCTTTTAATCCTGATGGTGTCTTCTTACTGCCTTACAAAGTGATCAGCTTCATTAAGTATCACTTTCCCTGTTCAATAGTAATACTAACGTTTTGAATCAAACTTAGAGGCAAGCTATGAAGGTAAATGATAATATGTTTAGAAAACATTCCGTTCTTTTTGAGGAATTAATTTGAAGAAATGGAAAATAATGTTTACTGAGGAAAACATCTTATTAGGCAGTTTAAGACATCACGAAGCCATATTTAGTGCGTGGCTAATACTGCTTTTAACATGAGGGCGTACTTTTCTTCACTGGCCCTTCTAGGAAACTGGTTAGCAGCTGTTCACTTTGTAACAGATGGTGCCCAGGTTTATTATTCCTGCTTTTCTGCTTTCAAATCTTTAATCCCTAAATTGACTCTGAGTTGGAGCTGGAAAAAGTTGGAAATAAAAAATCTGTTTTTACTGACTTAGGGAAAGCTGGAAGGCTATCTATTCACTTAAAGCAGTTTTTAATGTATTGCTTCTCAGCCTGAGATTCCCTGGTCCCATAGTAGTCCTTAAGGGTGGGAATAAGGTGGTTGAACCGTTTCTAGTATTTAAAAAAGAAAAACCTAATGAACTGCGTGGATTAATTAAACATTCAGATTTCTTTGCTTCTTGCTAATAACACTCATTGTTACATGCTGATGGTAAATTGTGGTTGACAGTCATAAATGCTTTTGATATCAAAGGGAAACAAATGGTTTATTTTTTGATAAATGCAGTTTGTTAGATAAAATGTTATAAAACATGGAATCTTTGGTATTAAAAACTAAAAAAAGTCCCTGGAGTGAAATGGTTGGTAACAGGTGTTTCAGTGAGAGGTACTGGTCTGGACATCCTGTTATTTAACAGATTAACAGAAATAGGGAAACATGAGTCAATGTTGAAAGAAACCACAGTGAATGGTTGCTACTAGTTCTTTCCTCGAAGGGACAGTGAGGACAAGTGTGCACTCGTGTTAAAATGTATGAATGCATGAGCCTGAATAATTTGGGGTCTTATTGAATGTAGTTCATGTTAATATTTACCTTCTGTTGCTTTTAATAATACTTATGTGTACAGTATCTGGGAACTTCATAAAAATAAAATTCTTTAAATGTGTGTAGATTAGTACTGTCATTGCAAATCCCATTTTTATGATGTTATTAACACAAGGTTGCTTACCCAAAAACATTTAGCTCTCATTCTTGTTCTGTAGGTGTATACTAAAAGAGGGATTTTGTTAAGCTTAGATGTGTCTAAACTCTATACTCTTCCTATAATTTTTTTCTCTTTGAAAATGCTGACATTCCTGGTACCAATACTTAATTTTCCTTAGGTTCTTGATTTACCTGAAGAACCTCCTGAAGCAGCTGAAGAAGTAAGCTTCTTTTTATTCTTTCTTCTTTTCTTTGTTTAAGCGCAAGTAAATATGTCTTACCTAAAGTTGGGCTTGGAGTCCCTGGGTAGCCAAACTGTTTCAGCGCTCGACGACTAGCCAAAAGGATGGCAGTTCAGACTACTCAGAGGCACCTCGGAAGACAGGCCTGGTGATGTTTCTGAAAGGTCATAGTCTTGAAAACTCTGTGGAGCAGTTCTGCTCTGCACACATGGGGTCGCCATGCGTTGGAATTGACTTGACTGCAACTGACAACAATTAACAGCAAAGCTGAGTTTAGAAAGAAAAGATGGCTTAAGTGCTTCTGTGACTCCACTGAAGTTAGGTCTTGTTTTAAATATGGTATAATATGAATCTCCTCAGTCTGAGTCCTGTTTTGGAAGCTGCTGTCTGCTGACTTTGTTTTTAGAGCCCACCCACAGCATCAGGCAGAGATAGGGTACGTGGGCTTTTCCAAAACTTTAGGTCAGCAAATGAGTTACTTAGACGGAATTGTAATCAGTAGATGACTTCAAATTGTAGGTCTCCCCTTAAAAAAGGGAAAAGAGAGCAGCTGTGCTGTAGACGTTTTAAGAGATGGTTGCTGCTTGGGTGGCTGAGCTGCCTTCCTGCCATTGCCTGGCGGAGTGAGACAGGCCACTAATGGACGGGAACACGCCAAGTCATTTAGGCAACAAATGTAGAAGGAAAGGCCCCCGCCCTCGTGGCTTTCCATTTCACAGCACTCAACTCTCCTTGAAAACCATTTTTCATGCAACCATAAAAGCAACTGAGAGGGTCTCATTTTTGTCAACACACTTGCCACATTTAATCTTAGTACTTTGGAAGTCTGAGGAAAACCTGAAAGCTGTACAAAAATAAGGACAATGAAATGTGCAATCTGGATACCCCCAGGAGAAACACAAGTGTTTTCTTTAAAGACCTTGAATTCAGCCCTTGCTGTATGTGACAAATTCATGCCTGTGATGTCTGTCCTAACTCTTCTCCATCCTTGTGTCTCTTCAAGCTCTGGTATCCACGACCATCATGTTATAATACAGGAGTAGTTAAATGTAGCTCAGGGAGCGCTCTTTCTGAACTCTCCCTGGCTTTGAGGCACATGGCATTATCCCTCCATAACAGCAGTTTGACTCGACAGCAACTAATAACAGTATATTATATATACCTATAAACTATACATATAATTTGTGGGCTGTGATCCTAAGCGTAGTGGCTGTGACGCTATAATAATGAGCCATATGACAGAATTCTTGCTATAGTGGAAGCGTGGTTGGCTTCAGGAACACACTAATGGATGAGGAAACTAATGACCTGAAAAATAAGTAATGCACTTCTGACTTAAGCAATACACCTTGACTTATTCATTGCCTATTATATATTTAGTATCATAGCGATCCATAGAGTTCTAAAATATTAACATGGTTTAAGATTTTTAAAACGATGGAAGGAAATAACTCATGGTGGTCCAGAATCAACAGCAGAATATTCACGTTACTGTTTTACCTTTTTCAAAATTATTGTGGTGAAAACACAATTCAACAAGGTTTTTCCATGTATAGTTCAGTGACACTGATTACATTCTTTAAGTTGTACAACCGTTCTCCCTATTCTTTTCCAAATTATTCTACCAACATTAACATAAACAACCCCCCCCCTTCCACCCGTGGTAGCCATTAACACTTTTTGGTTTCTATATATTTGCTTATTTCATGTAAGTGAGATCATACAGTATTTGTGCTTTTGTGACTGACTTATTTTGCTCAGCATGTTGTTTTCAAGGTCTTAAGAGCTTGGCTGCTCACCAAAAGGTCGGCAGTTGGAATTCACCAGCTGCTCCTTGGAAACCCTCTGGGGCGGTTCTGCTGTACTGTAGTGTTGCTGTGAGTCGGAACCGACTTGACGGCAACAGGTTAATAGGAATAGGAGTTGTCCCTGGGTGGCACAGACAGTTAAGCACTCAACCACTAGCCGAAAGGTTGGTGGTTCAAACCCACCCAGAGGCACCTTGGAAGACGGGCCTGGCAATCTGCTTCTGAAAGAGGACAGCCTCGAAAACCCTGTGGAGCACAGTTCTACTCTGAGACACGAGGTCGCCATGACTTGCAAGCGACGTGATAGCAATGGCTTTGGTTTTTTAACAGTAGTAGTAGTGTGAGTAACGAGTGACGGGTTGAAATTCCTTTTGGATATTTTTATTCCTCAGGTAGTTACTGTTGCTCTCCGGTGTCCGAGCGGACGTGTCCTGAGGAGGAGGTTTTTGAAGTCTTGCAGTTCGCAGGTGAGGAAATGAGTAAGCTGAGAAGTAGCTTCTGGTGGATCTGACAGTAGCTTCTGGTGGATCTGACAGTAGCTTATTTACGTGCAGTGGGGAGTCTGCTACTTCCCCAGATGAGGATGAAGGCGTATGTGTACTGTATGTTGCAGAAACTTGGATGACTGGGCGTGCTGGGCCTTTCGGAACTGCACTATCGTCTGCATTAAAGCTTTGTTCAGTTTTTCCTTTCCCTGTTTTTTTTTTTCTTTTTTGTTTGTTGTTTTGGTTTTATTCCATTTTCACAGCTTGGTGGCTAAGATGCTTTTTTCAAATCCTTAGGAAGTCACCAGCATTGACTTTGTTTCCATTATTCCCTGATGGATTATTAACCTAAATTCCACTGCTTCTATATAATTTTTAGATCATTCTCAAGGAGCTTGTTTCCTTTGGTCCAAATAGATTTTTCCTTATTAAAAAAAAAAGAAAAAAAACTGTTTTCATTAGCAACAATTTGGAAAACAGAAAAGCAGACAGAAATAAAACTGAGATCTGCAGTGTAACACTGAAGCCAATTACTAACACTTCAGTGTATTTTGATTTTTAAGTGCATTTAAACATAATTACGTGTGTAAATGTAAACAATTTTCAATCCTGATTGTTGCCTTTAACTCCCTATGACAAGAATGCTATAAACCATAATGGAAAATACTGATAGATTTGACTACAAAATAAAATAAAAATTTAAGGACAGAAACCCCGTAAAGCTAAAGGACAAACTTGGAAAAAACGTCTGTACTGTGTGTGTGTAATAGTGCCAGTTTTTATCTGGAGCTTATACAAATCAAGTGAAAGGGCAACACTTCAGCAGAATAGCAGGTGAAAACGTGTAGGGTTTTCCAAAGAAAAACAAGTAACAAATAAAAATGTGAAAAAATGTTTGGCCTCGCTTAGAATCGAAGTGCAAATTAAAATGAGACACCATTTTTAACCCGTCAGAATGTCAAAGATTAAAAAAAAGGATATCCGTTTTTGGCAAGTGTGTGGGAAAAACAGGGATTCTTATAAGTTGTGAAGGTGAATGTAAATTAAGCTAGTGTTCCTATGGAAGAATTTAGCAGTATATATTTTTAAAATACTTTAACCTATTTATTGAATAGTCTTTCCACTCCCTTCTGGGTGAGACACTAACTTGTTAAATGCCTCTGCTGTGTGCAGGTGCCAGTTGTCCCTGGGCCTCCTCTGAAACAAAAGGTATCAGAGGTTATTAGCTTCTCTGTTCCTTTAAACTCTCCGAAGTTTCTTTGAAAGTCGTGGAAGCTCTGTTTCATTACTTCTAAGGGCATGATTTAATGAAAGAACTATAAAAGATCACGGAGAGGGACACAGTGTGCACAAGTATTTGGTAATAACTAAGGTTTTTATCTTTTAGGTCTTACTTGACTGGATGATGAAAATTGGTTACCACACATCCCTATATAGCCTTTCTACCTCCTTTCCCAGAAGGCCACTGGAAGTGGAGGGAAGTTGGACACTGGAGGATGTAGGAATAACTGTGGATACAGTACTCAATGTGGAAGAGAAAGAGCAGAGCAACTAATTAAGAAATGAGAACTACCTGTTCTACATAAAATCAGTTATGCCATGACCTTACAGGACAATAAAGGATTCAATTAAAATTTTGCCATGCTTTGATTGAGTTAAAGGTCAGACTGTGGAAGCCAGCCTCCAAGATGGCCTCATGGCCCCTCTCCTGGTATTCATACCTTTGTTCTGTCCTCTCCCACAGCGTACCAGAGTTGATCTGTGTGACCAGCAGAATTAACCAAAAGTGATGGTATGTCCCTTCTTAGATTAGGCTGCAAGGGACTGCAGCTTCTGTCTTGTCTCTGATCACTTGTTCTGGGGGCAGGGGGAAAGCATGTTGTGAGCAACCCCGTGTCACAGAACTGAAGCTTCGTGAGTGAGCATGGAGTGAATCCTCCAGCCCCAGTTCAGATCCTCAGACTGCAGCCTACCAACAGAGACCCTGAGCCAGAACCACTCAGTTAAGCTGCTCCTGGATTCCTGACTCAAAAACTGCGGAAGATAATAATAAATGCTGTGTTAAGCTGAAAAGTTTTGGGGAAATTTGTTACATGACAAAAGATAACTAGTACAGGAAATAATCACGGCATTGTTCCCCCAACAGTACAAAGAGGTCCTTAGGAATAACTTTTACTTTTCTGGGTCGAGTCTTCGGTTTCTCGGGCCACTGACTTCTCTTAATCAGGGTTCCTTTCAGAGATTCAGTAAAGCTTCCACTGTTCATTCAAACAGACTCACATGCAAATAGAAATGCAAAAAGAAAAAGGAGGAGCATTTCCACATCTACCTATTTTGATCACAGACTTGCACAGGCTCTATTTTCAGTGGTTCTTCAGCATCCAATTCCAAGGATTCTGATTCCAGAAAATGATTATCACCATTTAAAAAAATTTATTTTAAACAGCCAAAATTGCAGTAATCAACAAATATATTCTAAAATTTGTGGAATAAATCCCCTCCCCCGCCCAGTTTTTAACACAAAAATCATTCGGGCCATTTCTTGGGAATACAGACATTTTTCTTGAACACACACGAAGAAAAAACACTTGATGGTATGTACAATTAAAGGGCTAAAAACAGATGCTTAATTGTCTCCTTGGTTACAAAAGCAGTGTTCTTGCTTTGAATTTAGGGACAGGAGCTATTGATGACTTAAAAGGCATCGATATATACAGACTATCTCCAAGAGACGGATTTAACGCTCAGATTAACACTATTAGTAAATCTTTAGAATCCTGGTTAATAATATTCTTTGTACTATAACCATCTTGCAATGAGTTGGGAAAATTAAAACTATGATTAAGGAATTAAGCTTTTCAAGGTGTGATGATGGTGGTGTGGTTAGGTAAGAGAGAGGAAAGCCTTATCTCTGAAGATGCATACAGCAATATGATAGGAAATATGGCTAAAATTTGCTTCAAAATTATCAGTGGTGGTGGTGGGACAGTAGGTAGAGATATAGATGAATAAATGTGAAGCTGACAGGTACAGAGGGATACATTAGACTCTAGTTTTCTATGATAAAATGTTAAAAAGTATCAATAGGCTTAAAAGGGCAAACTTGAAAATTAGTCAAGTTATATGTGAAAAATAATGACTTAAATAGCTTTAGGGTTTTTTTTGTTTGTTTTTTTTTGTCAGTGGAGGCTTGCGTGTTGCTATGATGCTGAACAGGTTTCAGAGGAGCTTCCAGACTAAGATAGACTAGGCCTAGTGATCTACTTCTGAAAATGAGCCGGTGAAAATCCTATGGTAACAATGGTAAGCTCCCACTGCGCACAGGGGGAGGCTACTCAATAGCAACCAGCGAGGTTTTTTTTAACGGTCCCGGGGAAAACAAATCTGAATCCTCTTTCCACTTAGCCTGTTTGCTATTATCTTCAATAACATCCTTCAGTGAAGAAGTAAAAATTTTAAACGACCTGTGTATTCTGTAGAGGGTCAGCAAAACAGAGCAAGACCCTTAACGAGATGGATCGGACACAGTGGCTGCCAATGATGGGCTCAAACACAGCAATGATTGTGAGGATGATACGGGACTGGGCGGTGTTTCATTCTGTTGCAAATAGGGTCACTATGAATCAGAACTGACTTGACAGCACCTGACAACAACACAGGCTATTCTAAGTTATTTTCAAAATACAGGAAGGACTGCAAAAGCTGGAACCTGTGTCAGGGCAAAAACCTGTCGGAGAAGGAAAACTAAAATACTGTTCACTAATAGTGATGGAAAAGTGTTAAGACTGCACCCTGTTAAAGGCGGGAAACCTGCGAGACCCAGCAAAACAAGGCAGTGCCGTTGAGTTCCGGCACCTACAGGTTTCACTGTAATATGCAGTAAAAACGAGGAGGAGTGCACTGACGTTAATAATGGAAGAGAGCCCCTGAATACCGCTGAGGCATTACCTATATACCCTCAAGGTTATAGCAGCTCTAGCCCACCAGCCATGTATCCCTATTTAAACAACTTCCCTTCATTTTATTACTCTTTATCTCTGTTCATGATTTACTGGGTAAGTAAACTCTTTCCCTTCCTGAATGCACTGATGAGGGAGAGCTACCCATCTGAGTTGAGTAATGCAAGAGATGCCAGCATCAAAAGAACACATAAATGCTGTTGTGACTCATTCTGTTATGACTGTGGCACTAATGGGCATTTTGTTGTGGGGAGAAAAGGAAAAAGCTGGACTTTTAAAGGAAATTTTTAAACTAAAAAAAAAGAAATTCCCCTTTAAAAGGGGGAACCAGCTTTAGTCAGCTAACTGCTCTACAAGCTGAAAATCAGAGCCTAAAAATAAGTTCTAAATCTCACCAGCATTTCTGGACTTCTACTTAGGACGTAAAACACGGCAAAGAACGTTGCTCCCACCCTACCATCAAGGAAAGCCTAGATGATCTACAAAATCGTAACCTGAGCCCTGAGAGCTGAAGTCGCAAAGCAAACACATAAACTGAGAAGAGGCATACTGCACTCCAAGCAGAGGCAGGATACAGACTCTTACTTTTGGCAGAGTATAGGAGAAGTGGCTGCTACACAAGGAGCTGAGAAAAATTCAGCTGAGATTGTAACAAATCTACAAGCCAGAGGTGGGCAAGTGCATCAGTTTGGAACAGGACTGGCTATTTAATCTGTGGTGCTCATTGCAAAGCGAAAATGAAGGGACCCTTATATTCAACAGTTATTAAGAATTTCAAAATGGTGACAACAGAACATTAAACCAAGTGAGGAACCCCTCCAAGTGTGAGGTCCCATGTGACTACACAAGTATCATACCATGAAGCCAGCCCAGCTTTGGACTAGCTGGGGGCCTCAGACACAAGGGGAGCTCATACTTGATTGAAAGCTCTTCTCCATGGCCTCTACTAGGTGTCCATGAGAACAAATGAGTCCAGTGCAGAAGATCAGAGAGAGCCAATCTTGGTGCAAATACAGAGGAGGCAATTTGTGGCTGCAAGGGAACAAGCACAAAATCCCACTAGCTCCCTGGTACCTTTCTCCATACAAAGCCAAAAATTTTAAGCTACAGAGTGAGACAGAGCAGATATTATGGCTCACAGGGCACTGGCAAAGATATACTGCTTTTGAAGAAGAAGTAGAAGCAAAAGCCATTTCTCTCTCCCTGGACACAAGCAAAGATTTATCACTACTGGGGGCATAAGTAGAAGCAAAATTTTTCTACCACTTAGGGAAGAGATACACAGAGAGAGCAAAGAAATGTATCTAAACCTAACCATACCAATAATCACATTAAATGTAAATGATCTAAATACTCCAGTTAAAAGTGTCAGATTGGATTTTAAAAAAAAAAAAAAGAAAGGTCCGACTATATGCTAACTACAAGTAACAGTGGTAAGTGATAAATACCTACAAAAATCTATTACTACTACCACCGGAGGTGTGATAGGAAATTCTCATCTGAAACCAAACACAGATACAAGGCAAAATTTGGCTACCACAGGTAGGAGGAGCAGAAATGCTACGAAAAACTCACCTCTGAAGCCAAAGCACAAAGGGCCTGCCTAAGATTGAGGCTGAACTGGGACAACAGAGAACCTTACTGGCTCCCATTATGAACCTACCATAAAGTAACAAGTAACTACTGTGGCGAGAGACCAATTTAGTCCAGTTTTTAAAAATTTCTTTCCAGCTATGTAACATTTTATAGTGTTAGCATTCAATTCATACTCTGTATTTTTAATTATCTCAATGTAACTGCCTATTACATTCGGAGACTTTACCTCAAGTTTCAATAACAGTTAAGCTTTCATTTAATGCATACCACAGTAAATGAATATTTTTGTTTAAAATGGAATTTATTTGCTCAGTACACCAAATAGGATGCAAGCACTATCATGACAAATATACAGAAATATGCAGATCAACATAAAATAGTAATTTAGTTTAAATGAAGGGAAATCTCTTTAAATGTTATGACAACATACTCCCAAGAAGAATCTTTTCCTCAGTTAATTATACATTTCAATAAAATAAAGGATAATGGATTAAGTGGAAGTTAGCTTGTGAATTTTCCTTAAAAATAAAATCCCAACTTTATTAATTCATGCCAGTTAAACACTATAACTAAAATCTCAACTAAGTGCAAAAGGAGATGAAGGATTAGTTACCTTTTTTGTTTGAACAGTCCAGAGGAAAATGGTTATTACAAATACAGCAGGCAAGCTGTTAGACTGACTGATCTAGAACATAGTGCTGTACTGAACTTCAGTCTAAACTGTGCTAAATGTTCATCATTAGTATGGCACATTTTGGTCCATGATGTGGTTTAATGCCAAGACAGATCCCAATTTGTTACACAAACACATCGATTACTGTTGCTTTTTCTGTTTTTAAATATATACGTATCTTAAAAAGCCAGGTATACTTCCACATAGAAAGGCAGGTTTTCCCTGGAGCAATTCACAGGAAGTAGTCAGGGGTGCGCCGGGTAACATGAGGCTCTCCACGACGAGGCGCTGGGTCAAACTGAAGGCTACAAATGGCAAAAAAAAAAAAAGAAAAAAGAAAATTTTATTTTGCAGGCCAAAAAATCAATAAAGAACAAGACACTGTAGTAGAAAAAAGTAGTTCTATGCCCCTACCTCTACAGTGTTGATTCTGACTGGAATGACCATGGACAAGTCACTGAGTTTAGTGCCTTTTCATCATAAAACTACTTCACGGTGCTACAGTGAGAATTTTAGTAGATGAAATGTCTGGTTTGGTGTCTCGCATAAATGGTTTGCAATATTATTATCAGTGATATTTTATTAGTATAGGATCCTATACAGAACAAAAGGAGCCCTGGTGGCACCATGGTTAAAGTGATCGACTGTTATACGAAAGGTCAGCAGTTCGAAACCACCCGCGGCTCTGTGGGAGAGAGATGTGGCAGTTTACTTCTGTACAGATTTACAGCCTTGGAAACCCTATGGGGTTGCTATGAGTTTGAATCGACTTGGTGGCAGTGGGTTTGGTTTGGTTTTGATACAGACCAAGGATACATATGCCCCACAGCAACGTAAGTAGGAAGTCTACTTTTAGGGTATGCATTTTACTCAGGTAAAGAAGGGCAGCCTTAAAAGTATTATTTGACCAAATATACGTTCTTTCCTCCCACACCATTACTGATGGGAACATACTTAAGCACTGGGGCGAATGGGAAGGTTAGCCATCACTGATCCAAACCATTCAATTCAGAAAATTTACATCTAAAGTAATGATAATTCAGGCAGCAATGACCAATAGAAAAAATTATTACAACAATTTTTTTAAAATT